TTAATGGTTGTATGTTGGGTATAGGGCCTTTTGAATTGCTTTGAGTGCGCTTTTAATGAATTTACTTATAAAAAAATATGTAAGAACTAGAATTACAATGCAAAGAATTTTAAGATAACTTATTTCGTTACAAAAAGAAATTAGAATGATATGATACTCATTATATCACAATTGTGAGCATTAACTGTCTTTTTAGTTGTGCACCCTAAGTACAAGTACTCCAAAACATCTGATAAATTCATCAAATCACTAAGGCTGTCCTGCTCATTAAACGATATTATCAGACATATATAACAATTTAATGTGTCATAATGAAATGCAATCCAGCAAACATAAACAAATTAATTGGATTTAAAATCAGATTTGAATTGAGCATATGCATATTTGAATCTAAACAAGCCAAAACTTTTGATAAATTTGGAAGTTTTAAATTGGGTTATGAATAAAGTACCAAAATACACTTGTTCTGTAAAACACAAAATACTCTTTTTATTTGATAAGTAAGTAGGATTGTGCCAATTCATTTTCCTCTAATTATTTTATTGACGTAAAAAAAATAATATGTGAGACATTAACTTTTGTTGTGACATATAAGCCGCCGTTTGGAACTTTCAAATTGTCATCACCCCCTTGTTTGAAATACATACCTTCACTGAGCTATATATTATTGTGAAATTGATGACACATATTAGCTGGGAACTGAAGTAGTAACAAGTAAAACCACTCCTATGTAACCTGGAACATAGGTGGAGAACTCCCTCTGACCATGAAATGATTAAGAAGGGGGTTCTTTGTCAAGAATGAGAAATGAACGCCTGCTGTATCTTCCCATTCCGGTGAAGTTTTTTTCAACTGTTTTTTTGTTTTATTGAACATAAATGTATACCTTCCTTGATTGCAAATAAAGCTAAGAAGTCTTTAAGGATTTCAATGTTTTTGTACTTGTTAATTTTTCAGACAAGATTGTCTTCTTAACACAGTTATAAATGAGAAAACCTACCCTTGAAGCTATCATTTATTAATTTTTTTGTGCTCTTATATAATAATCTTGTACATTTTCTATAGAATAATATTGTCCGGAGGTTATTTAGCAGTTTTCCTCCATGCTTACTCTTCATTTTCTCAATTTTTGTGAAATAATTTATTTCTTTCCAATTTATCAGATCAACCTGTGGGTTGTGTTACTCATTTTGGTTGTCTTTCAGATCGTTACAGTAGAAATATATAAAAAGAAGAGAAAAGAGAGAATTGCGTAAAGGCTTGAATGAGATGAATTACTCATTCACAGCTCTAGTATTTATAGATAAAATGAGCACATGCTCATATTACAAGAAAGGAAACTAAATCAAATCACAACTTATTCTAAAGCATATTCTATGGCATATTCTATAGCAAAATCAACTCTCTGCTATTATGGTAAGTCATACCATAAATCGTGGTATCATATATATGCTATTATATGCATAGTCAAATCTCTACTATTTTGGTAAGTTATTCCATAAATCGTGGTATCATAAATGCTAACACTCCCCCTCAAGTTGGTGCGTGGATATCTGAAATGCCCAACTTGGACAGTGCATTCTCAAACACAATCTTGCTGATGCCCTTTGTAAGAATGTCTGCAAGCTGCTGAGAGCTTGTGACAAATGGAGTGCAAATTTGACCAGAGATGATCTTCTCTCGAATGAAGTGACGGTCCACCTCTATATGCTTAGTCCTGTCATGCTGAACGGGATTTGTTGCCATGCTAATGGCAGACTTGTTGTCGCAGTAGAGTGAGAATGGAAGTGACACTGGAAGGCACAAGTCTGTCATCAAGGTTTTCAGCCAAAGCAACTCACCCACCCCAAGAGCCGTAGCTCTATAGTCTGCCTCTGCACTAGATCGAGAGACAACATCCTGCTTCTTACTGCGCCAAGTAACCAAGTTACCACCAATAGTGGTACAAAAACCTGAAGTAGACCTCCTATCTGAAATTGAACCTGCATAATCAGCATCTGTCCAAGCTTCAACACGTAAGTGACCATGATTAGTAAACAAAATGCCACGGCCTGGACACCCTTTTAAGTAGCGAAGAATCCGAATAGCTGCATCAAGGTGTGGGGCACGAGGAGAGTGCATGAATTGACTCACGACACTCATGGCATAAGCAATGTCAGGTCGAGTCATGGATAAATAGAGGAGCTTCTGCATCAAGGTGTGGGGCACGAGGAGAGTGCATGAATTGACTCACGACACTCACGGCATAAGCAATGTCAGGTCGAGTCATGGATAAATAGATGAGCTTCCCCACAAGTCGTTGATACTGACCAATATCTGACAACAACTCCCCCTCAGAATCAGCCAACCGATGATTCTGCTCAATCGGAGTATCAGTAGGACGAGCGCTAAGCTGACCAGAAGTAGAAAGCAAGTCAAGAACATACTTGCGTTGAGAGATGAAAATGCCAGTCTTGGAGCGAGCCACCTCAATACCCAAGAAGTACCGTAGGGGACCAAGATCCTTAATCTCAAACTGACGGCCAAGATAGCTCTTAACCTCATTAATTCCGGTAGTATCATCGCCGGTAAGAATAATATCATCGACATACACAATGAGAGCAACTGTCTTACCGCCTGAATGACGTAAAAACAAGGTATGATCAGCTGTACTTTGATGGAAACCAAACTTGAGCATAGTAGTGCCAAAGCGATCAGACCAAGCTCGAGGAGATTGCTTGAGGCCATATAGAGAACGACGAAGACGACATACCATACCAGAATGAGCAGGAGAACGAAAGCCCGGAGGAGGAACCATGTACACCTCTTCCTGCAAATCACCATTAAGAAAGGCATTCTTGACATCTAACTGAAATAGAGGCTAAGATCGAATTGCAACAACGGAAAATAATACACGGATGGTATTCATCTTGGCAACAGGGGCAAAAGTCTCTTGATAATCTATGCTTGTAACGAGCAACTGACCCATCTGGATTATGTTTAACTGTAAACACCCAACGACAACCCACAACCTTTCGTCCAATAGGAAGCGGAACCATGTCCCAAGTCTGATTTTTCTCAAGTGCTTGTAGTTCTTCTGTCATAGCATCATGCCATTGAGGTTGTGCTAGTGCATCTGCAACACTGGAAGGAACAGGAACCGAGGCAACAGAAATAAGAAAACTCCGATAGGATGGTGAGAGAGCATAATCAGAAACAAAATTAGAAATAGGGTAAGTGCAAGAACGCTTATCCTTTCGAAGAGCAATGGGGCGATCATCAAGCGAAACAATAGCTTGAGAAGGCGGAGCTGGTGCCGAAGGAACAGGGCAGTCGATCGTGGGAGTAGAAGCTTGTACCTGTTGTCTCCGACTATAAACCAGTGAAAAAGGAACAATTCCCCCTGCTGGAGGGGTATCACGAGGAGGAATTATAGAAGAAGAAACAGGTAATGGTAGAGGAGTTGAAGACGGAAGAAGGTGATCATCCATTATATTCAATGGGAACCATTCACTCTGAGAACCACCTGAACCACTATAGTATGGTGTATGCTCAAAGAAAGAAACATCCATGAATATAAACCGCCGATGACTGGGAGGATGGTAACACCTATAACCTTTTTGAGAGTGAGAATAGCCTAAAAATACACACTTCAAAGCCTTGGGGTCAAGCTTTGTACGAGTTTGCCCTAATTGCTGAACAAAGCACACACACCCGAAGACTCGCGGAGGAATCAAAAATAGAGATGAATTGGGATGTAAGATTGAGAGTGGGGTTGCAAAGTTAAGAATCCTAGAAGGAGTCCTATTAATGATGTAAACAGCGGTAAGAACTGCATCTCTCCAAAATGACTAGGGAACATTCATACCAATGCAGATTGCTCTGGCTAAGTCAAGGATGTGACGATTCTTTCTCTCAAAACGACCATTTTGTTGAGGAGTTTTAACATTAGCCAGCTGATGCTCAATCCCAAATTTTGTACATACTTGTTGTACCTCCCCATAAGTGTACTCTGTACCCTGGTCAGATCGGAATTTTTTTATGGTACGACCATATTGAGTCTGAACCATTGTCATAAAATTTTTAAAAATGGTGTATACCTCATTTTTGGTTTTCATAAGATAAACCCAAGTAACACGACTACGATCATCAATGAACAACACGAAATATCGAAATCCAAGACTAGAAGTAACTGGGCAAGGACCCCACATATCTGAATGAACAAGATCAAAAGGTGTTAAAGCAGATTTATTACTACTAGCAGGATAATTGGAACGAACATGTTTAGCCATATGACATGTTTCACAGGATAAATCTGACACTGCCATGTTGCAAAATAAGGAAGGAAATAAATGTTTCAAATAACCAAAAGAAATATGTCCTAAACGCATGTGCCAACGCATAAGTTGGGCTTTATTAGATGAAACAATATTAGAAAATGAAGCTGAATGTGCTTGAGGTGACAAAGGAGCATCCAACAGGTATAAACCGTCCACTTCACGCCCACTGCCAATCGTCCGTTTCGACACCAGATCCTGAAAAATACAATGAGAGGGAAAGAACGTTACACTACAATTTAATTGTTTGGTAACGCTACTAATAGAAATAAGATTTGTAGTCAACTTTGGAACATGAAGTGTATTTGACAAAGTTAATGAAGGAGTAACTGATATGTGACCCTTCCTAGCAATGAAAGATGGAGAGTCATCCGCAAGGCGGACCTTGCGTTGGCCAGAGCAGATACTATAAGATTAGAAGAGTGAGGACATACCAGTCATATTGTCTGAAGTACCAGAATCAATGATCCATGGTGTTGAAGATGTAGATACGCTATGTGCAGACGCAATAGTACCTGAGTGGGCATAAGTGGAGGTTGGCTGAGATGATGCCTCGATTTGGTTGAAGAATTGCTTGAACTTGTCCAAATCAGCTTGAGTTAAGGTAACTGTGGCAGAAGATGTAGAGGCAGGGTTGTCAGGAGTTGACAACGAGACTAGTTATGTAACAGAATGTGTAGAGGATCAAGGCTGTTGTTTCTGTTGCGGTGGACGTCCATGTAGAGCATAACAACGAGATTTGATGTGACCAATTTTTCCGCAATGGTCACACCGTCCACGTTGTCGTCCCAGAGGAGGACCGGTGGTAGTGCTCTGAATTGACTGGGATGGTGAAGTTCCTGAAAGGTTGGGAATCCGAACTGCCATAGCAGAACGATCAACAGAAGTAACACCTAATGGATGAGTCCGGCGGCTCTCATCTGACAACACATGGGAATATGCATCCTTAAGAGTAGGGAATGAAGATAAGCCCAATAAATGAATACGAGCATACTCAAACTCGTCGTTCAACCCGGCAAGAAACTGAAACACTCGATTCTTTTCCACAATTCCTGCATATAAAACTGCATCATCTGGATCCTTCCAAGAGTGGAAGGAATCATAATATGACATCTCCTCCCAAATAGCACGAAGCTTGGCGATGTAACCTGAAACTGTCAAGTCACTCTGAGAAATCCTGGTGATATCTCGCCCCAGTTGGAAAATTCGTGCATTATTCTGCCTCTGAGAATAAGTGCGTTGAACTGAATCCCAAATCTGCTTAGCAGTCTTCATAAACATATAACCAACAACTATGTTTGGTTGCATCGAATTGACTAGCCAAGACATAACCATAGCATTATCTGCAAACCACTGTGGATATGCCTTCTCTGACTCAGCTAGCTCTTTCTCAGAACCAGTAATATAGCCAATCTTGCCTTTGCCACCAATGAACATCTTGGCAGACTGTGCCCAAATCAAATAGTTGGAACCATCCAACTTCACTGTGGTGATTTGAAGTCCTGGATTTTCTGATGAGTTGGTGGGAAAAATGGCACCACCACCCACAGAACGTGAGCCAAGAGAATTAACAGTCGAGGACTCTGAATCTGCCATAATCTGTCACACGATAATAAAAAGAACTCCAAAAAACACCACAAATTCTGTTAATAAATCAAAGGGTCTCCTTAGACCATTAACAATGTCTCCTCAGACCATTCCCGAAAAATCCAAATACATACCTTTTTTTTAAGGAGCGCTGCCCGCTTATATATAGCCAGACAGCCTCCTCCTTAATATTCGGAACCTCTTTGTAAACTATTTTTTTTTTACCCAAGCCCTTCTAAATGATGGAAACCAACTATCCCAATTTACCCGATCCTAGAAGAGTGAAAAAGAAATTGTAAAACTTAAAAATACCTGTTTTCGATCACAAAACAGCAACACAGAAAAACATGTTTAGGCAACGTCACATGATGTCACAAACAGCCTAAGGTAGCTGTCGTACAAGTAGTAAGGCTGCTGAAAGGTGTGGAAAGGTATTGGCTCTGATACCAAGTAGAAATATATAAAAAGAAGAGAAAAGAGAGAATTGCGTAAAGGCTTGAATGAGATGAATTACTCATTCACAGCTCTAGTATTTATAGATAAAATGAGCACATGCTCATATTACAAGAAAAGAAACTAAATCAAATCAAAATCAAATCACAACTTATTTTAAAGCATATTCTATGGCATAGTCAACTTTCTGCTATTATGGTAAGTCATACCATAAATCGTGGTATCATATATACGCTATTATATGCATAGTCAAATCTCTGCTATTATGGTAAGTTATTCCATAAATCGTGGTATCATAAATGCTAACAGTTACCTTTGCAGATTGCTGAAGTATAGTAGCTGGTTCATGAATTCATCATAAAGATTATTGGTGGTTGTGGAGATCAATTTCCTCTTTGAATTTTGGTAACTGTATTAAAAGTCTGGTTCAACATATCAGGAATTACTATATTTCTGGTTTCAGTGGAAAGCTATTTTTTGGATGGTTTAGAGTTCAGAAACTGTTAGAGCGTCGATTGTGAAAGAAAAGAACAGGAAAATGATCAACAAATCACTTTTGTTGACCTATCTGTATCTGCTAATCTACATTTTGCTTTCATCCGGTGTTATATTGTACAATAAGGTAATGCACGTTACTGTTCGATTTATATTATCAACATCTGTAATTATTGGCTGGCCTATCAATTTCTATTCTGTACCATTATCTCAATAGTTTTTCCCTTTAAGATTGCATTCGAATAATATTTTCATGCAAGTATTGGAGTTCTAAGCTTTGAAATTCCACATAAAAAATGTGTAGAAGATGCCGACACATTCTGGAAATTGCATTGTCATATTGATATTTGGCTAATCGCTCTCATAAATTTGTACTTTACCACCTAGCTTTCATTCTTATATGTATGACACGTGAAACCATATAGAAGAGCTCATTCAGTCATAATTACTGAGTCCAGATTTTAGTTAAATGGGTATTGATGTTCTCCTTTCCATAAATCCTGTTTATCATATGACGAATACTCGTGTACAATTTTTCTCGTTCTTTCCAAAATTTACGCAGAGCTATTGTTTCCACCTTCATTCATTAACCCCTCAAGCTTCAGCTTTTATCTGCATCCTTCAATAATTCATTGTAACATGTCAGTGATATTTTATATCCTACTTAGTTTGTCTGAATATAGATGATAAAATAACAGAGGTTAAGACTTAAGGCTATCTGTATTGATCAATTGCCGTTTTGTTCTTAATTTATATTGCAAGAATTTGAATTATCTTTTCCTTGAACATCTAAAAAGAGAGCATTATTGGCCCTTGTTAGATTCTTTGCTGTATGAGCAAGTTCAGGTCCAATGAATCTGAACAGGAAAACTTAAAGTATCTAAAGAAGGTCCTTGCCGACTACGACCTTGATTATCAAATTGGCTACCTATTTTTCTACCCTAGGTTCTTCTTGCTCCCTTGTATGCAGTAGCTTTTTAGAGATTGATTTACCAAGTTGTTGCACTCATTTGGTAGTTTGTAATGCATAGTGAACATTCTGTGAGATGCAGGAAAGCCTATGGTTTCTCAGTGTTTGTAGAGCTGAACTACGATGGAGTAGTGGGCTAGTTGATGAAAAATAAGGGTATAAAGTTAGGGTTCGTAAATCAGTGAATTTAAATCCATTGATTCAGATTTTTCTATTTAAAAGAGAGTGAACAGTGTTATAACTGAATAATATTCGGTGAACTCGGAAGAAAATAAAGTGAAATAGGGAAAAAGTACCCTACTTTACTAAGGCTTGATTGAGATGCACTCATCAATCAACAGAAGGCTTCTTATTCATTCCTACCAACAAAATCTATTCATTAACTGCTAATCTCATTTTACTGCAATATTTCTTATCAATATATGTTAGAAAACACTAGACACACATGTAAATCTTCTAAAATTTGGGCCATCCGGATTTGCACCAAACATGAATCGGTTACATCAAAATATAATATATCTGAGGTAGCAATGGACTAGATTGCAATCCAATAAAGCTTCAAATCTAATTCAAAGTAGGACTCAGAATATAGAAAGAAAAAAAAAAAATTTGCAACTTGAGTAATTATAATTTTTTTTGATAGGTAATCAGTCAATATTATTAATAAAAATGCTCGGCAGAAAAAAGGGGAGCGAACACTTTACAAAAAGTAAAAAACGAATACAAAAAAAACACCACTATAGAGAGAAGTTGTTCATAAAGTCCATCAAAGAAGACGTAGATGAACAGCTTCTCCCGGTCACCCAGAAATAAATAGAGTGCAAGATATTTGATTTAAGCACCCAAATAGGAGATACAACTCCATCAAATGCTGTACTATTTCTCTCACACCAAATGCCCCACCACAAACAGAGTGGAGTAGCCCTCCATACATCTCTAACTCTCTTAGCCCCTTGCCGACCATGCCAAGCCTCGATCATTCCTTTTGTGTCCTTGGAAACAACCCAATCCACAACAAATAAAACCAAGAACATGGCCTAGATTTCTGATGCAACAGGACAATGTAACAAAAGATGATTCACAGATTCCCCTGCTTTTTTTGCACATAAAGCACCAATTAACAGCAATCTGGTGCCTTTTCCTTAGATTATCCAATGTAAGAATGCTTCCAAGAGACGCCGTCCATGTGAAGAAGGCTACCTTAACTGGTGTTGAAGTCCTCCAAACAGCTTTCCAAGGAAAAACCGTGCGAATGGACTCCGTGAGACTTCGATAAAATAGCCTTATCTCAAACCCTCCTTAGATCCTCCTTCCCGCATCATTACATCCCTGTCCTCCCACTTTAGAGCTTGCTGATACAGTAAACCCATAAAATCTGTTATCTCCAAAAGCTCCCAATCATTAAAACATCTACGGAATAGCACATCCCAAGTTACTCTCCCATTTTCAAGCCGATAATAATCTGCAACCATGGCATGCTGATTCACAACAATCCTACACAAACGTGGGAATCTACTCTCCAAAACTTCATCTCCACACCATAAATCCTTCCAAAATCTAACCTGATTCCCATCCCCTAATATGTTTTGAAAACTCATCCCATCCCCTCTGAATTCCTTTCCAAACACCTACACCCGCTGAATGAGTCACCTCACTAGACTTCCATCCACCCCCCTCTTCTCTATGGCGGCAAGCAATAATCCGCCTCCACAACACATGCCTCTCATTCCCAAATCTCCACAACCACTTACCCAGGAGAGCTTTATTTGCCAAAACCAGCTTGCGAATCCCTAGCCCCCCTTTAACAATAGGGGTACAAACTTTTTCCTAATTAACAAGGTGATATTTAAACTCCTCCCCCATACTACCCCACAGAAAATTTGCTTGAAAACGGTTAAGCGTTTTTGCCACAGTGCTGGGAATCGGAAACAAAGACATAAAATACGTAGGCAAATTGGAGAGAGTGCTTTTCAAAAGGGTAAGTTTGCCTCCTTTTGACAAGTATTGCTTCTTCCACCCAGAAAGCCTCTTCTGGAATCGCTCAATAATAGGATCCCACACAGCCACCCTCCTCATAGAAGCTCCCAAAGGTAGTCCTAGATAAGAAATCGGCAAAGACTCCACCCCACATCCCAATATTCCTGCTAGTTCTTGAATATTCGGCACCTCCCCTACTGGTACAATCACACTTTTCCCGACATTTATTTTCAGTCCTGAGACCACTTGAAAGCAAGCCAAAACACATCTCAAATGTCTCATCTAGTCACATTTGCATCACAAAAAACTATAGTGTCATCTGCAAATAGAAGGTGTGATGTAGTAATCTGGTTTGAGATGCTCCCAACTGAAAAGCCTTGAATAAAACCCGGCTGCTCCGCCGTTTTCATTAATCTTCTAAGTGCTTCCATAACAATAATAAAAAGAAAAGGGGAAAGAGGATCCCCTTGACGTAACCCTCTGGAGCTTGCAAAGAAGCCTGCTGGAGTCCCATTCGCTAGAATAGAAAAGCGAGCTGTAGCAATACAGTGAAAAATCCAGCCCCTCCATTTGGGCCCAAATCCCAGCCTTTCCAACAAGTACATCAAGAACTGCCAGTTCACATGGTCAAAAGCTTTATGAATATCTAATTTGCATACAATCCCCGGCTCCCCACTCTTCAATCTAGCATCAATGCATTCACTTGCAATAAGGACTGGGTCAAGAATCTGTCTTCCTCCTACAAAGGCATTTTGGGATTCGGATATCACTCCATCCAATACCTTCCACTATCTAATGGATAAAACTTTAGCAATAATTTTATACATTGATCCCACCAAGCTTATGGGCCGGAAATCCTTGGCCTCCACAGCCCCTCCCTTCTTAGGGATGAGAGTAATGAACATTGCATTCAAACTTCTTTCGAAATAGCCATTCACAAAGAAAGCATCCAATGTTCTCATAACCTCCATCTTCAATACCTCCCGGTTCTTTTGAAAAAAGGTAGTGGTAAACCCATCTGGACCCGGCGCTTTATCCCCATCACAACTCCTTAAGGCTTCCAATACTTCATCTTCCCCGAATGGTCTTTCTAACCAATCCTTGTCTTCATCAGAAATGCTGTTGAACTCAAGATCATCCAATAAAGGCCTCCAACTTGCAGTCTCTGTAAGAAGATTCTGATAATATGATACGAAGCCTGCCCGAACATCCTCATCAGATGACGCCAAAACCCCATCAAAAATAATTCTCCTTATATAGTTCCCTCTTCTATGGGCATTAGCTAAATGATGGAAAAACCTTGTATTCCGATCTCCTCCTTTAAGCCATAAAGCTCTAGATTTTTGTCTCCATGATATTTCCTCCATCGTCAAAATCTCTCCAAACTGAGTATTACATTCCTCTCTCCTGTTTCTATCAAACGGAATCAACCCTTCAGCCCCCTCCTTTCTATCCAACTCTGCTATTTCATTAAGAAGACGATTCTTTCTCCATTCCAGTTTTCCAAACTCCTCCTTATTCCAAATTTTGATATCATTCTTCAAACGTTTTAAATTTTCTGCTAACTGAAAGCTGGGACTTCCCCTAATATCGTACATACACCACCAGTTCTTTACCCTTTCGCTGAAATCTTCCACCCGCAGCCACATATTTTCGAATCTGAAAGGAGATCTTCCTCTCCGAATTCCTCCACGGTCAAGTAGGATGGGAATATGATCAGAAACAACCCTAACACAAGCCACCTGAGACACATCAGGAAATTTCTCTTCCATGTCCGCAGACAGTAGAAATCTATCCAATCGAGACATGACAGGAACTTCGCGCCCACTAGACCAAGTAAATTGACCTCCTTCCATAGGTAAATCCAGTAAGCAATGAGCCTCCACAAAATCTGAGAACCCTATCATCGCTCCATCTAAAGACCCCTAGAGGATCTCTCATTTGGTCTGAGAACAGCATTGAAATCTCCCCCTATACACCAGGGAGCGTCCCATCTGCTTCTAGCTTCACCCAGTTCCTCCCACAACGCTTTACGCTCACTATCAATCACTGGCCCATGTACTCCAGAGAAAAACCACTCTGATCTATCTTCATCAATCTTGAATAGAATGGACAGTGAGTGCCTCCCTTTCCATACATCGACCTTCGTCACCCATCTTTTATCCCAAAGAACAGCAATG